ACAAAATTCTGACCTTGGTGTTATTTCCTTTTAATAGTTCTGTATTCAATTATGGCACTAACACACGAAGAGACACTTATAATTAAATATTTATTTATTTATTTTTAAATAAGAACTAATATCTAAAAAATTTCGTAATAAAAAAACGACAGTAAAGACAAAAAGCTAATTACAGGTTTCTTAAATAAAAACAAGATTTAACTAACTGCACATGACATCGCTAATACTTCAATTAAATTTAGAGTAACAACATTATAGTAGTACAAACCACTTTCTACCATCGTACGGCTCGCCATCGACAGAGAGTTCATCCTCATGTCCTACAGCCTCAATGGTCGTGTACTGCGCGGTTTCAGAGATGTTTCCTCCTACGAACACTCAGGTTGTGGAATAAGCTCCCTACCGAGGTTTTCCCAAGAGACTACAGCATGGGGTTCTTCAAAAGGGGGGTAAAGAGGTTTCTTCAGGGTCGGCAACGCACGCGTAATACCTCTGGTATTGCAGGTGTTCATAGGCTACGGTAACCACTTACCATCAGGTGAGCCGTATGCTTGTTTGCCACCTCAGTGGTATAAAAAAAAAGCAAACATTATCAGTAGGCAGTTATACAAAATAAAAAGTTTAACTATCAAAGAAAAAGTCAGTAGGACTTAGCACACGTCTTGCGGATTCTATCTTAAAATTATGAATACGCATGTCGTGGCGGCCTTTAATTGAGGTAGCATTTTACGAGGTTTGTCCGGAAAGTACGTATAAAAGTTTTTTAAAAATTTTATTTTACAATTATTATCGTATAATGTAACGATATTATCATGTATTTTAAGTAGATATAAATGTATGCTTTGTTGGTTGTCCTAAATAAATAAATAAAATTAAATAAATCTAAATCGAGATCTTTAGATATTTTATTAAAATTATCGCTTGAACATCAGAGATGAATTTTTCAATAGTTAATGGAAACATTATAAATTAGTTGTGCTCTGTGACACCATTTTAGTATTTTACTTACATGGTATTTTTTCTATAAGTATCACATGTTAAATGCGGCAAAAACAGAATTTTACCTAATCGGGTACCTACTAATCTATTATGAATTTTATTAAAATTTATTTTATTATTTTACAATGTTATTGAAGTGTTGGGGGGAATCGGATTGTTAGTAATGGAGACTAAGAATCCCATTGCTAGCAATATACCCAACCAGGTCGACCTCCTCGCGGTTCCTGGAAACTACCATGGTTAATTCCTGATAAATTCATCATTATGGGCTAACTGGCCTATTTTCATTCTCATCTATCACCCTTGACTGATGCTCCGCCAGCCAAGATTTTAAATAGATAAATTTTAAATTTAGATTTTTTGACGTTATTAATTCACATGTATTTGACAAAAAAAAACTACATATATATAAATAAAAAAATCCTATGATTAACATGGTAATTAAAAGATTATATTCTTCTCTTATGGGGAGAGGTAACATACCACAGCTATAATACCTAGCTATGGTATGTTAATGGATTATTGTAATGTAATTGGGAAAATAGAAAATATTTGCCAGAGGGAGACTTTGTACAAAAGTCGATTGCTTGGGTATCTCTGTCCCATTCGTGTTTCAACCGTCAAGCAGTTGTGTTTGCATGGCTGTGTTTCGGCTTGAAGGGTGGGATATGGCGTGAATTTACTGGGTACAGAGGAATAACACCTGAGTCCTCAGGAATGGCAACGCATGGGGAATATCATGGGCGAAGCTGTATACTCTGTTATGTCCATGGTACTGCTCATGTCTATAAGCGACGGTTACCACTTTCCATCAGGTGGGCCGTTAGCTTGTTTGCCATTCTAAGTTGTATAAAAAAAATATTATATTTATATATATAACGATTATAATAACTATTTTTTCTTTAACAATTATTAATTATTATTGATTAACAATCTTTGTCAATTCATATTTCAACAATAATTTTATTGTGTCACTATTAAAAAGTACGGTATGGTGCAGGGCTACTAGAAGGGCAGACCCTAAATAAACTGGGGCAACAGCCAAGAGAAACAAGAAAAACAGTCATAAAAGGTATTAAATATTTAAAGAAAAAATATGAAGAATAAAGCCTTTCAATTTTGAATTTCTGCAATTGCCGTGCCATTTACCGGAACCCCGGGTCAATGACATATTATTTTAAAGTTGATCTATATTTCACAAAAAACTAAACAATCCGTCCAAAAAACGCGTGGTCCTCTATCTCCGTCGGTTTATTCACACTACGCAAAATGCGTGGGGGAGAAAAGGATAGATATAGTTTATCACTGCGGCTCGATTGTGGGGCGGCGTTTGCACTGATCTGTGACGGCCGTTCCATTTGAAGAGGCAATGACAACACGACCTCAGTGAGCAATGTATCGTCGTCTCGCTTGCACATTATTTTTTTCACCGGTCGAATGTTGACAGGCGGCGATGCAACGCGTGTAAAATTATCAAGGCTATGATTATTACAATGTAATTTTCAAATAGGCGCGACTTTTATTTTTTGTTTGTTTACTTTTTCATTGTCTCTTTTTATTTCTTTCTTTTTTTTATACTTTTTTTTTAAATTTTTTTTATTAAATTCTTGTCTATAAAATCTGTCTAGGTTATATTTTAAGTGAACAAAAACCGTAATTTTCGTACGTTTTTATTGTGCGTCGATTTTTATGCGAGACAGTTTTCAAATATTTGACGAAAGTCTGTTATATTGAGCGTTGATGTCTTTTATACTGTCGTAGTTGCCGGCCGGTTTCTTGTTGAGTTTTCAGTTTATTTTGTAATAAATACTGTTACGTATATTATGCAATTGTTTGATAAAGAGATAGTTAAGGAAAAACGTTATTAAATCAAATTATTCTCTAATATAATTAATATTTTTAGTTTGAGACTAATTAACTAACATAAACTAAATAATTCTAAATTTAATGATACATGCAAAAAAAATACAATATTATTCACTTTAATCTTAATATTTTACACTAGCAAATTTATATTTAAGAGTTCAGATTTTTTTTTAAATCTTTTCTAGACCTAAATTGCATTTTATCTACTAGGTATATTTTATAAAATTTTGTTATTCGTATGACTTTATTATCATTAAACCAAACTATTAATGCCCCTCTGCTTGACATAGATAGAGATCTAAGATAGATATTTTATAAATTTAATACTGATGAGAGTACTGTAGAAAAGTCATCAGTCATGGTTACCTCTGTCCCATTTGTGTTTTTGTCGTAAAGCAGCTATATTTGAAGAATAGCGAATATAGATTAAATAACAACTTAGTCTGGGATGAAGAATTGTTAGTAATGGGAATCTAACGGCGTTACTGATAGCAATATCAGATCGATTTCTACGCGGTTCCCCCTGGGAACCTTCTTGTTTAATTTTCGTGGAATACGTCATGATGGGCCAACTGACCTGCTTTCATTCTCACCTATTATCCCTCACTGGTGCCCCGCTAGTGTATATCGATAGTACAAGCGGGGCTACCATTCCATTATCACACATTAATAAACATCTTAGTTATAAGCATCACAGTATATTCTGTGATACCCGTAGTGCTGTTCATGTCTATGAGATACAGTTACTAGTTTCCATCAGGTGGGCCGTCAGCTTGTTTACCATTCTAAGTATCACAATAAAAACAACTTTTTATCAGTTCTTACGATACCCTGGAGATGAAAAGAAGCAGTGACATGTCGTATTCTTGCTCTCAACTCAGACAATACCTAGTGAAGTGGTCACGTATTGAGGTGGACGTGAGTTCGAGTCTGGAACAAAATATACTTTAAGTTTTAAATATACAAGTAGATACAGCAAAGAGGTTTTCAATTCGACTATAGGTACTTATTTTTTTATATCTCATGAAATTTGTTCACCATTATGATACTTTTTTTTTAATTGCGTATTGGTCCTATAGTATTTTATTTTATTAATAAAGCCTTTTATTTATTTCCATATTCCTAATATATTTACAATATTGTTAGTATCTAATCTATTTATAATTTTTCTTAATAACTAATTGTTAGTGTAATTTTTTCTTTGATTCTTGGATATGGACCCCTCTTTGGGTGAAGACCTCCTCCATTTTTTCCACAACTCTCTGTTTCTGCCTATCATAAACCAGTATTTTACTGTATATTCTGTTATATCATCAGTCCACCGTTTTATTGGTCTACCAACGTTCCTCTTACCTCGTGGTCCTGTCCATTTCGTACTTTGATACGTCCATCTATTATCAGTAGATCGTGAGATGTGACCAGCCCATTGCCATTTTATACGTAGAGCATGTGTGGCTGCATCTGTTAATTATCAAAATTGGAATAGATTTTTGTTAAATATTTTTTTATATTATAAATATTAGATTGATGGTAAACACCATTAATAAATCTATCTGTTGTGAAAAAAATATATGTGGATTTGTAGATAATAAATATATAATTACTTGGTTCATAAGTTTATTCTGCAAATGTTTAGAAACATTTCAATTATGTTTTTAGCTTTTATTTGTTTACTGCTGAATGTAAGTCGCCTCCCCTTTCCCCCATAGGTTGCTATAAGTGAAGGTCCTGAGTATTGCAAGCAGATTAAAGTTTACTTTTAAAATTTCAACATGTGAAATCTATGGTAAAGACTGCACTAAGAACTGAATTCTATCTACAAACAAACCAACAGATATCTCAAGACTTAATTTTTTCATTGACAGAACTACTTATCAACAAAAAAGCGATTCACCACGCTCCATAAAGCGGAGCATTCATAACTCGATAGAATAATCCCGTTTGAAAAAAGACCCCGTCAAAATGAAAACAAAACAGAAAAACATAATCATCAGATGGGTACACCGTTAGGCCATCGACACATCTATATATCGGCTTAGTCCTTTCCGTGAGAAAATCTTTTCGTATCGACACTTCTAACGTATGTAGCGAAGGTTCTACGGGTTGAAAAGCGCGCGAACGCAGTACGGCGCCGAGACTCGCGCGCGGAGCACGCTCATACGATATCTGCGCGCGCAGCTGTCAAACTCGAAGTGACAGATCGGGACCGCGTGTGGCTGGAATGCGTTCGAATTTTTGAAAATGGAACGTCACGCGACTCATAAATTTGTCGTGGACCTCACTTAACTTTTTTTTTTCATAAGATTTTCTTTCTCTTTTAAAGGGGATTAGGCAAAGCTATAATTTTATAAAATTCAAATATGTAGGGTTTTAAGGATGATACGACATTGATTCACTTTATTGTACTAGTGATTGTGTCGGAGTGTTCTGAATTCAGTGCTAACTGTTCTCTAGGTCTACATAATTTTGTTTAGTTACAAGGTTACAAGGGCGTGAATTTTTGACTTGTTTATTACAAGTGTGAACTGAAAAAGTGTGAACTGTTGATTTGTCTAAGAAGTAGTGCCGGCTGTATTTATCCTTATAATTTTTACCTAAACAATATTCAGCAATTGAAAGGAATTGTTTACATAGTATTATTGGTAAGACTATTTATAATTTTAACACTTTAAAATATAAGGCCCGGTTCTTGTATATCCTATATTCTTTTATGTCGTATGCATTAGATATCTCATGCATTATATTCTAGTATTGAATATCACTGTATTGCAAGTGACAACCTTAAGCAGTATTTTTAACTCATATACCTAAAATTTATGTATAAAATAAGCATAAGAATATTTTTTTTTGTTTTGGGTATATGTAAAAATTTTGAGTATACTAGAATTATTTTAAGTCACTTCAATCATAAATGACTTTAACAGAAAAAAATCAATGTATTGTTCATGTAATATAAAAATTTACATGTAAGGTTTGTACCTCGCTATATTTTTTTTGTACTACTTGGAGTACAAGTACAATAATTTGTACGAAAGAATTTTATTTAAAGCCAGCCTTTGTGCTGTGAATAGTCGATTTTTGTGATGAGGCATAACAATGGCAGGTGTTAAGTATAGGATACCGCGTGATGCCATGTAACATTAGATTTACTTTTGATGTATTCAAATTAGAATCGAACCGGAATTATCTATAATACTATTATAAGGAGAGGAATGGGCAACACCGTTGTTCTTAAAACATTATCAAGCCCAACTGTGGTAGCCAATCCGCCTGCCGAGCATGGCAACTACTGGCAAAGCCTCCCTTATGGGGGAGGCTTATGTTTAACAGTAGAAATCAATAGTAGGTAAAGCAATAACAAAAGTAATAGCATAACCACTTATAAAATTGATAATATAAGTGGCTATGCTATTATTTATAAATTTTCAACCGAATTTAAACAAGGAGGAGCTTCTCAAGTCGATTGTATTTTGTTTATGATTGATCGTCAAAACTTTATAATTAATAAACTGATTAGGAAAAAATTTCTTTAACTTAAAGGATATAAGACTTTATCAAGATTTATCAAGGTCCATAGAAATTTTATTAATATTATAAAATCTACTTGTGATTGATAATTAATTTTAATACTTTTTATTTTTACATAAGAGATGTAGATTATAACAGTGAATGAATGGGAATAAAGGCTCATGATGTATTTCGCATGATACAAAATATTGTATTTCATATTGAATAAATAAATATATATATACATTAGTAAAAATAACATCCACTTTTTTTTTTATACAACTTAGAATAGCAAACAAGCTGACGGCCCACCTGATGTAAAGTGGTAACCTTCGCCTATAGACATGAGCAGTACCACGGACATAACAGAGTATACTGTTTCGCCCACGATACCCCCCATGCGTTGCCATTCCTGAGGACTCAGGTGTTATTCCTCTGTACCCAGTAAATTCACGCCATATCCCACCCTTAAAACCGAAAACAGCCATGCAAACACAACTGCTTCACGGTTGAAACACGAATGGGACAGAAGTACCCAAGCAATCGACTTTTGTACAAAGTCTCCCTCTGATGTATATTCGATGTAAATGTGTATAAATTTCAATCATGTTACGTCAATTGGCAGCCTTCTGTTGTATTCTTCAAATTTGTAGACAGTGGTTATCGTTTTTCAAATTCAATCATTACTACATACCATAATATCTCATTAATGCCTCCTTTTGTACATGAAATTCTCTCCATCCGAACGCAATGTTGGCCATTAACATACAATGTTCAGGCTTTTTTTATATTGTCATATTTTAAATTTTCCATTTAAAAAAACGTATTGTGCTTTGTTCCCTTGTTCTTCCTGGGGTTGAAAAAGGGATGAATAAGCGTTATATAGTATATTGTACCATATTATCTCTTTCAGTACCTATTTTTTACATATTACATACATATTTTACAGGGGAAAATTAGTAATAGAGATATAATATGGGTAATATGGGAATATATAATTATAAATACTGATGGAGTCCTACCAGTTAAAATGTCATGGTGACATTATGACTATGAATAATATACCATGACTCGAGTACTAATAAAATCATAATCATGTATTTCATGCAGAATTGATAGTATTTATTTACGTAGAATAAAAATTCGATTTAATTAATAGTTTTATTGTTGTAATCCCAAACACACAGAAATACCCTTGGCCTGTCGATTTAATTGCGAGAGTAATTGAACAAACCATAACTAAAGTTTTAATAGAGTTTAGTTACTCACTTGCCACCATGACTTTTAAATGTTGTTTCCATAGACAATTTCTGTGATTATAATGGCGTTGCTAATTTACATTTATAAATATTCAATGATATTTAAGATTTTGCTATAAACAAAGACTTTAATGATAACAAAATGTAGGCTTAGTATGAAAATTAAACCCAAAAATTAAAATTGCAAAAGAGTACAAAATTAATATTATACTTAGTTTATAATATTATGTACACTTTTAACTATTGTTATAATAAAACAATGTTTAACTAAAACTAAATGGTAAAATATAGGTACTCTAGGTTACGTCCGAACTCTAGGTACGAGTACTATACTAAAATTTATTCGATAAATCAAATTATGACAATAGACGAAAAGTCTATTTTAATAAAAAAAAGTATCTTAATAATATATATATATATATATATATATATATATATATATATATATATATATATATATATATATATATATATATATATTTTAACATGTGCATTATCTATTGACAATGTTGTTGTAGTTTCTAACAGTATTGCTTAATTTGTTTAATTTAGTATTGTTTAATTTTGTGTTTCCCTTACTTGTATTATATTTCTGCAAACTTTAGTGGCTGTCAAATTACTATTTAAGTGTATAATTATGTATTATTTTAATTGCCTTAAATAAATAAATAAATAATAACTTTATTAAGCATGCTAGACAGCGCCCTCTAGTTTTAAACTAATTACTACTGTTACTTGTAATATTACACAACTGATAGAAATACTTAGATACCTTTTAACTGCTAAATACATACATCATCATATCAGCCGTTAACTGTTCACCGTTGAACATAAACATCCCCCATAAGGGAGAAGGCAGTAGTGCTATGCTTGGCAGGTGAGTTAGCAATCGTAGTTAGGTTTTGGTGGTGTTTTAAGCGGGACGCTGCTGCCCAAATCTCGATTATTAAGTTTCTTTATTCGTCTCCTACGACGCCTACGGGAAAGGAAGGGGAACTATATACGTATAAATTGAAAATATCCAAACCAATACAAGCTGAAATACTCATGATTATAAATGTATGTTTTGTAATGGAATTGGGACGATATAGTATAAGACACACACAGAAAATGCGAAAAATAATGTCGAATGCAAACCCTCTTACCTTTCGGAGTCGGTTGAAAATGTTACATAAGACGGATTAGAAAAACGACAAGTACGTTCTTAATTGTGGTAAAAAATAAAATCACTGTAGGTATTCAGAATGGTACAATGGAGTACCTACACGATGCCATACTTTTTTGTTGCCATCTTATTTAATAGGTCAAACAAATGACGCATCTAAATGTTCTGCTATTTTTTGTGGCGTATGTCTTATGTAGGTAAGACTACAGTAAATAAATATTATTATTATTATTATTATTTTATTTATTCTTTATTGCACAATAAAATTTTGTACAAATGGCGAGCTTAATGCCATATGGCATTCTCTACTAGCTAAATATTATATATATAAATATTCACTACTTTAACTTATTGTATAACAAACTATGATGATGACGTTGATAACATACTTAGTTTCATCACCATCATCATATCAGCCATTAACTGTTCACTGCTCAATACAATCATTCCCCTATGTCAATAGTTAGATTTGGAGTCTTGGTAAGTGGATTGGCAACCGTATTTAAGCTTTGGTGATATTTTTAAAGGGACGCTGTTGCCAAACCCTCGACTATTAAGTTCCTTTAGTCATCTTTTACGATACCCACGTGACAGAAAGAGATGGCTTATTCAGTGCCGGGACATTACGACAATACTTAGATTACTACATAATATTAAGTAAGAATTTCAGAAATTGGTCTATAAAAATTATAGTAACTTCAATAGAGGTAAAATTAATATGAAACCAATGTGCGAGCCAACTTTATCAATTGCGAGATGAATTATAAATATGTCTAGAATTGGTTAAGATATCAGAAATAAAAGTATACACATAACAAATACAGTAGAATCGGGAAGCTGCACTATTTTTAAGTCACTTAAAAAAATAAACACAATCACTACACAAGGTGTAGGTATCTTTGATTTTGTCTGTTTTTTTTTATTGAATTTCTTATTAAGTTTTCCATTTTTTAAAACATTAAAAAGTTTTTTTTTATTAAAATCTTTATTTTTTATTTACGTATTATCAAGAAAATTGTTTTACTATGTACACGATAATCGACACATTTATCTCTGTACCCTTAAATAAACTGCATTGTTTTCTTGATCCTTCTAATGCAAGCGCTTGTTTTGTGCAAAAAAGATCACACTATAGTTTTTTGTTTAAGCTAATTTGATCAACAAACAATTGCAGATTATGAAACGTCTTGTCTCTTATCTTATTGAATAGCTTAGGTTTTTTTATACTACTAAGGTAGTAAACAAACATACGGCTTAGCTAATGGTGAGCGGTTACCATAGACTATGAACGCCTGTGATACCAGGGACATTTCGCGCGCGTTGCCAACCATATAACTAAGGTCTTGATTTTATGGTTTATTACTTTTACATTATGTTTTCGTTGTTAAACTTTTATAATATGTATAACTTTTTTAAAAATGTTGTCTTTTCCTTTTATACTTTTTTGAACTGGGTGAAGAGAAATCATGAATTAGTTGCCCCAATAAGAGGTATCATATAATAATAAAAAAAAACTTTTTTTTATAGTACTTGGCGTAGCATGAAAGCTGATAGAATGTAGTAAACGTTGGTAATAGATACAAACAAAACAATATTATAGGATACACTATGTCACTTATATTACTCTTCATGTACCGATATTTTTGAAGTTATTTATTTATATACATTTTTATACATACACTGAGCCTGAAGGTTGATAATAATGATTATA